AGCCGCTCGGGCCGATGGCGTTGGCAGCCGGCGCTGATGGAGATGGAGTGGCGCTCCTGTGGCGCTGATCCCCGGGGGGGCGTCTCGTGAAGAAGCGGAGGAAGGTGTTTGACCTTGGGGCGCCCGCCAGCTTCCGGCTGGGGAGCAGGGAGCCCGTTCCTCCGGGACGCGGCTTGCAGGCCAGAGGAGGAGGGCGCCGGGGCTTTGGAGGTGGCCTCTCGTAGGGGAGGGGTTTTCCAGAGGAGCTGTCTCGGCACCGCTGATGGGTTAATGCTGCTGCTGCTGCTTCATCCGGTTTAGCTGTTTGTGGCGTCGCCTGGGTCGTGTGGATGAGTGCTTCAGGCCGTCTCCTGTGCTCTGTCCTGGGATTCTTTCCCAGGGATTCCTGAATCCCTTTCCTGGGATTCAATGCCGGTGATCCTTTTAGCTGGCCCTCCGTGAAGAATCGTCTCCTGGTCTTCAGAGCAGCCTGCTGCCGTTCCCCAGCCCGGCAGGAGGCCCCGGCCCGGGTGCTAGTCATAAAACTGTAGAGTTCTCCCACGTTCGGCCGGCAGCCAGCGACCTGAGGCGCTGTAACCTTCCACGCTAATCTGTGCAGGGGGTTATCTTCATTTACATGGGATCAATAAACTACAGTAATAACTGTGATGAATTGCTATAGCATTAAAATAGCCGATGACCTTTTGCGAACAGCCATGCTTGGTGACCTTTGTGTGGAGGTGGGAGAGGGCTCCCTGAATGAATGCCCCTGCACAGCTCTCAGTCCCCAGATCTCACCCGTGGGTTTATGGCCATTGACACCGCTTGCTGACCTTATGAATGTTAATGCCATTTTCAGAGATCCTTAACCGTATTTAACAGGGGAGAATGGGAGTTCACCAGACCCCTCTGGACAGCAATATACAGGTGTTACACCACCATCAAATGACATAATATTGTCCAGCCCTGGGTAGCATTCCCTAGGGTTGCTTGCAGAATTCGTCACATGGCATAATAGTGCCTAGACCGTACGCAACATGTCTGTCAGGATCGGTGCCACATTCTGGTGTCAGA